TTTAAACAATATGATCGTATTTCAGCACACGATGCTGAGTCACTGAAACGCTCCCACTCGTCGCTCCTTGGAGCTGTCTCGGGACTGACGTAACCTGCTCGTATGCAAGCTATTCCGTGGCAGAATTCGCTGACGTCTTGGCATTTAGATTCGATATTCACTAGCGTATTCATAATGATATGCCGTTATAAAGGGTTCCTTTCAGTGCTGATGGGCCTACTTAAACAAGCCAAGGATATTTAACGCCCTTCTGAATAGAGCTGAAAGGATTGCTCGTTTTCATTTCTTCTATCTCTTGTGAAATACAGACGAAATATAACGTTGTTCCTTGATGTGTATTTCGAATTTGGACGTACATTGAGTCAGTATGACCCAACGCCAGACATTGCAATTACAATTCATTATACTTAAATTTTCCTTATGTCAAGAATTGCAGAAACACTTTGAAACTTTTCACGCCAAAATTTTAATAACTGGAAGTGATTTTTCCAGTCATTTCTATCAAATGTTCTTGATAAGTCAATTTAAATATGCTCAGCTCTAAGATAAAGACATTCTGTTTGCCTTTGTTCTCCTGCCTAACCCTTCTCATTGTGCGATACGCTAACTTTCCTTATAACATAGGGACTATGACGATCCAGGAATCTTCGCTGTCATCAGCACTGTCTTCACTCTTGCCTGCGGCATGTACGGCAGCTAATGGTTCTGGCTCTACCTTTTTGGGCCTGTACCTAACCTGGAAGTCGAAAGTGGTCTTTTTGTTCCCATTGCCAGTCTTTATTGGATGCGAAAATGGTAGATCAGAAATGCTATTCTCCACTGGTGCGCACGTTGTTTGCTGTTTCACTTTGACCTTCTCGGCCTTTAACTTCCGTTTTTCACTTCTGGTAGGTCGTTGAGTTGGAGAATATATTTCTTTGCTAGCAGTGCTATCGGTTACGGCCCTGGTCGTGTCTGGCAATCTTTTGGCGGGGCTTGCAATTATTGCATTCGCGCTTAAGGCGCAAGAAGCGGAGAGGAAAACACTGCTTGGATCCGCGGACGGGTCTGTCTGGGCCAAGTTGTTGTTGGCTGTGTCCACTGGGAAGATAGGGCGAGCTGTGTCCTGATCTGAAGACGACTTGTGTCTACTGTGTTGTGTGGCGATATCTGACTCGGGGCTGCTTTCGTTATAGCCTTGGATCAAAGCCTTGAGTTTGTATATGATACTTCTCTGACTTTTCACTTCCTTTCCTGCCGAACTGGGGGCTTCCTGGGTTTGATCTTCCGTGTTCTGTGAAACGTCCAAACCGTTTCCAAATGCTTCCAAGTTTTTCTCGGTCATCGTGGATAACTTCCTCATTTTTCGTGGAGGTGATGTGCTTGGGGTAAGAAGTGGCATACCTTCCTCTTGCGTGTGAGAGACCCCTTTGCTCAGATGAGGAAGATCTGTTTTCTCCTTTGTCAACAATTTGCATCTGCTTCTTGGGTGGCGGGCGGGTGACACGGACAGGCGTCTCTTCATGTCCGGTTTGTGCGATGTGCCGTCTTGTAGAGCCAGAGTTGGTGCCGTATTATTGTCTGGTGCTTGAGAGCAAGTTCCCAGAGCTCGGAGGCTAAAAGAATGAAAAGATAAGGAAATATTAGACTAACGATTCTGAATTTCAGGTCAATACCCTAGTGTATAAAAAAATAAGAAGGTATCAGTCAACATCCTCGACTCAAGTACTCCCAACATAAGACTGTAGGCCTAATCAATCACTTTCCCTACCCACTTCTCTCCCCACTCTTCCCACTGTACCCCTCTCT